GATGAGATTTTGCCACTATCAAGACTCAAACGCACATACCAATTACACGCTTACTCACAAAAATCACGTGTCAACCATTGCACCAAACCATCTTGATTACTACTCAGATAGCCTTTACTAAGTAGCGCTATTTCACATCAGTGCCTATCAATGTCTACTAATACTCTCGACACCAGAACGGCTCTGGATCCATGGAAGGGACACATCTGAAGGACTTGTAAATAGAACAACAAAGTTTTGTATTTATGAAGGAAGAGATATGCATATTACATTGGGCGAGCCGCAAGAAAATACCTGTCTATGAGCACTTCTTTCCTGAATGTGTCGAATGTGTCTTCGATGTGCTGGTTGCTGTGTCCAAAGAGGCTACTGGGACTTCAGGCTGCTTGGAGTGAGTACTCTTACATGTTGCAGGAAATAATGGTCGTATCAGCATCCTCAAGATCACTGGCACTGCTACTCAGCACCGTAGTTGTGATACGTGCTGCGACAGCCCGACTCCGAGCCTTCTTTGACTTGTCAGCTGAACGTGTCTTGGTGACATCCATGTTGGAAGTATGTTTGCATGAGGCGATAGTGTTGGGTTTGGGGTTGTCAGTGGGAAGAAGGAAGCTGGGGTCAGGAATGACATAACTAGACATTGCGGGAACAACAGGTTGCGGTGAAATATGAGTGCGAGTGGTGGCAGACTTTGAAAGAATTGGCCCTGAGGACAATTGTGTGGAAGTGCTTGAAATGGCAGTACTCAGTGTCAAACTCCCAGCAAGCTGTGTAGCAAGAGCGCCTGAGTGATCGTCGCTGCCATCAGAACTTGGGAATATGTGCATTGATGTGATTGAGCTCCTGGTTGATCGGGCTCAGAGTCGCTGGTGTCATTTCTGTCAGGAAGGGGGTCAGAGGCAGTGGGATTAGCAAGAGCGGCAAAGAGTTCTTGAACAGTCTGTGAATTCGTCCTCCACTCGCTGTAGGTGCTGGCTGGGTGCTTGATTGGGATAACACAGATGGAGCGTCAGCAGTGTACACTTTGATGTTCTCGCATATGTGTGGAGGATAGATGTAACAACCGTGCCGGATGGGGTGGGGACTTGGCTTCAGCTTGACGGAAAGGGCAGCTGCGCCACCACGCAACGTCTGGGTGTCCCCGATTTTGGATGAACAGGGAGGAGCCGGATTCTGGCAGTGAACTAGAGCAAAGGGGGTATGTCGAGTTCGATATTCCGACTGAGGAATCTACTACTGTACATGGGTATTTATGCTATGTAGGATAATGGACCATGATTATGTAATGGATAACTTAGCCGGGACAAGGAGAACAATGAAGGACGATGGGACAATGGCTGGGAGACACAATGGAGTGAGCCAGAAACATGGCTCACCTCGGAAGTGCCTCGGAAGCGCACGGCTCATTCCCAGATGTCTCGGAAGCGTCCCGGAAGAACACGGCTCATTACCACAAGCCTCGGAAGCTGGATACAGCCTCGGGAGCCGGATAATTGTGCCGGGAGCTGGGGACGGGTCGTGACAATAGACGGCGTTATTCCATTTTTTGAAGAGCGAGTTGATCCAGGTTCAGTTAGGATACTGGATCAAATCCTGCTTGTAGAGCAAGGCGTAATTTCCATAGTCGGTTCATGTAATATTCCCAATCCCAGCTCCATCGAGCACTGTATCATCGGAAAGGACATAAATAGCCTAAGTGTAAAGTGAGCGCTCGCATGAGAATGACATGGCATTCAGAAATCGAGTTACTAACCAGAACAGCGGCCCAAGCAATTAGGCTGTAGGTGACTCCAGGAGCATGGCCATCTGTTCGAAGATAAGGGCTGTTGGAGCAAAAATTGCAATTGTTTGCATTTTGTGCCATCACAGCTCCTCTTCCATACAGAACCACACAGATGATCTATGAATAAAATGATGAAGAGAGTCATCAGGAACACAGATGGACGATGTGAGTAATTGGAACATACTGCAAAAAGGATGGGGTTCAGGAAGAGAGCCTCCGGCTTCATCCTGTTGAAACCTTCATACAAAATCGGTGGGAACATTTTTGCCATTTCGTTGGTGTATTGTAGAACATAGTCCCCACTTCTGGTTTTTGCAAGCTTCGCCCCAAGATAGAATCGAACCTTGCGAACATGGCGGTGTGGAGGGACCCCATCAAAATCGAGGATGTTGTCAACTTCATCAGGTTGAAAGTGCAGTCATGTCTGCTAGAAATCTATATCACATACTGTATTTAAACAAGGTATCCTTATATATCAGGACTGTGGTTGAACAGTCCACCTACGGAGAGTGGCCTTGCCAGATGTGCCGGGGCTCGTGGCTGTGGGCAGGGCATGTCAACATATGCAAACAATGCAGGAAACAGTGCCCGGACACTGTACCTCGTCGTTTGGGGTGCTCCTGCCCCCATTTTCGACAGGGAAAAGGCGCCACTGATGAGGAAACATATTTCCTCATCATTGTGCACCATTTCCCCCATCGTCGGGGGGCGGGATTGGGTGGATTGGGCCAGGTGCGTTTGGATGATGCGGCCTTTTTTCAGGCCCTGGTACTATTTTTAGATAATATTGTAATTACAATGACACATCCCTTGTAATGCTCTCACCGTCATCTGTCACAACGTCCGGCTAGCTCGGGGTAACCACAAATTAGCAAAAAAAAATCAGATTAAATCACAATAAATTATGTATGCAGTGCGGGTGGCTCTACCAGCCACCCGCTATGAGATAAGCTGAAAATGAGCTGAAACGACGTGTTGTGATGCGTCGTTTCGGCTCTCTGTTTTGCAGCAAAAAATTGGTTTTTCTTAAAAAAAGAAATCATATTAAATTGTAAGAAGATAAATACAAGATGTGGGTGGCTAGTAGAGCCACCCGCTATGGAATAAACATAAAACGAGTCAAACGGCGTGCTATGATGCGCCGTTTCTGCTCGTTGGGGCCCCATCCACCCCTTCCACCCTGCGTTGGGTCCCACCTGCCCTCTCCGCCCCTTCCTGTGCTTGGTGGGGGGCCCTCTGCCCCCTCTGCCCCTTCCTGCCCCCCCTCCTCCCTCTCCTCAGCTCCTGGGACCCCTCAGTACTCATCAGGTCCTCATTCACCCTCTCCACTGCTCCCTTGCCCCTTCGGATGCTTGTTAAGGGTGGAGGGTGGGGGCAAGGGGGCAAAAGGTGAGGAGCGCAGGGGTAAGGAGTGCAGGGGCAAAGGGCAAGGGTGAGGGCACAGTGAGGCGAAGGGGCAAGCACACAGCAAGACGAATGGGAGAGGGCGAGTCCGTCATCATTGTGCATCCGCCCATTACTGCCCTTGTGTGCCCTCGTTGTGGTGGTGGGCATGCCCACCCTCCATCCTTGTGCACCTGCCGCTGCTGTTGTGTACCCGCCGTTGTCGAGCACCCTCTGTCATTTCCCTGTGCCCCCCGCCGTCGTGGTTGTTGTGCCTCCATTGCCGTCGTGGTTGTTGTGCCTCCGTTGCTGTCGTGGTCGTTGTGCCTCTGTTGCTGTCATGGTCATCGTGCCTCCATTGCCATCGTGGTCGTCGTGCCCCTGCCACTGTCCTGTGCCTGCCATTGTCGACTGCCTGCTGTTGTCGACCTATTGTGTCTGCTCCATCTTCCTGGTTTTATGCCCACTGTCGGTCATCGTCGATTGAAGGTGAAGGGTAGAGGGCAAGGGGTGGAGGGCGAGAGGCAATGGGTGGAAGGCAAGAGGTGAAGGGCGAGAGGGCAACCAGCAAAACGGTGACGGCAAAGGCAAAGGTGCGAGGGCAAGAGCAAGAGAGCAAGAGGGCAAGAGGGCAAGAGCAAGAGGGTGAGAGCGAAGGGCAAGGGACAGAGGGAAAGAGGTGAGGGGCACGGGGCAGCACCCACATCGGCGGAGAGGGGTGGGGTA